CGTGTCCCATCAAATCTGTCATACTGAGAGGGGGGCTCTGCAATTTGAGGTGAGACATGGTGCTAAAACACATCTAATCTGAGCTAACACCTTGACCTGGCAGTGTGCTGTTTGGTCATATGAGCTCAGGTGGTGCTACAGTTCCCACTGATTCAAGCCATGTTCAAGCAGTTTAAATTCCATCCCAGTCCCTGTGATTAGTGTTTCTGTTCTTCTGGTTCTAGGCCTGCAGAGATGCTTTAAAAATGGGAAATGGCTTTTAGAAACAAGGAAATTTAGAAATGGGTCTCTCAACCTGAAAGTCTACCTGCCATCAGTGATTCAAAAAACCTCTGGTCATCTGGAAAAACACGTTCTCAGCACAAAATAATAATATTTATTTACTTGTTTAGGGCCTATCAGAATAACAAATTGTAAGCAATGCTTTTTGTTGGTTTTGTGTCAAATATTTAGTTCAGCGTATGACTGCTTTCGTCTCAAAAAGTAATAGATTAAAGATTATTCCCTGCAGGTGAACTAAAGTCTTATCTCAGCAAAACATTTAAGCATATGCTTAAGTCAGTCTTTATTCAACAGATTCTCTTAAATACAACCCAGGAACTACAAGTCCCCTTGGTTAGACCATCTTCCAGATTGGTTTGTGCTTCTGGAGTGTCTGAATGATAAAGAAAACCTACTGAAAGACTTCTCAGCTGGAGTGAATTGTCCTGGTTCCATGCAAGGCAAGAAGCTCCCACGCTTGGTACATCCTCCCTCATCTATAGGTACAGAACTCTCTCCAGCTTCCACTGGGCTCACTGACAGTGCTGTGATTCATTTCATTGGGAGCAGGAGCCAGCCAGAAATATGGTCAGTTTGATGAAAATGCAATGCACATGTTAAAATAAAGTAAAATCACATCTGCATTTTGTCTGCATGCTAAACAATAATGTGAATTTTTTAGTGTTCTTTTGGAAAAAAAAATAGTTTGCCTCTTTTTTCCAAGGGACACTTGGCAGCAGTAAAAAATAGATGCAAAATTTAATGTTTTAAAATTTTAGGCCACCGACATTGATTTAACAGTCTAAAATTATGTTCTTGCTCTGGGAGAGTTTCATACTGACTGAACCTTTTTCTTTTTCTGCAAATCCTGGATAAAAAAAAGTCATTGAAATAAAATATTTCAAGTGTCAACTTGGAGGAAATTTCTGTAGCCAAACTATAAATCAGATTTTTAATGGGCAGACAGACTTTCACTGTGCTAAAATCACAAATCATGGAAACAATAACTCTGCCCCTACAGACAGACAGATAGACCAACCAACATACAGAGAATGCATCTCTCTCAAATACGTTTAGATATTTGTCTTTATAAGGGAAGAAACTATTACTCTTGAGGGGCATAGCCATAAGTGAATCATCAGGTCTCTCTCTTGCAAATGAAGATAGATGGCATATTTGACTACAGATGTGGCTTTTGTCTCTCACTCTCTCTCTCTCTGTGACAGAATCTCATTTATAGAAAGAATTTATTCACCACTGCAGAATAAATGAGAATTAGAGCCATCTACATACGTGCGTGTGTGAATACTTAGTCACTAATCATAGTGATGGTGATGCAACCATTATGTTCTAAATATAGATGAGAAAGTATGTGACCATTTAGAAAATATATGTGAATACTTTTTGAAAGATTATCTTCCAATTTTTTTGTTTGTGCAAAAGCCTTTGCTATGGATGCTGTCATTCTTGCTATGTTAGTGTTAGTGGTTCAGCATGCTCATTGGTTGGATCATTTCTATAGGACGTCATATAACTGACTTGGAATGGTGCATTTCAGAAATATACCTCAATTTCTGGAAAAAAGAAATCTGGGAGACACTGAGTACAGCCTGTGGAGTAGATTGCACCAGTACAATCATAACAAAGAGAAAGAAAATCCAGAAATCAACAACACATTCACCTTAGGTTACATGGGACTGTATTTTTTTTTTTTCCAATTTAGCAGCTGTGGCCTATTTTAAAAAGAACAGATTGGATATGATGTAAAGTAAATTGGATAGTCGTCTCCACGTGCTCCAGATAATTTGAGAAGTCAGTCACACCTTCAGTTGTTTTCTTTTGGCTACTTTTTAAACAACTCTTACTATTTTAATCCAGCTCAACTCCAATGAGAACAAGAAATTTAGAAACCGTTTGCCCATTTCCATGCATTTTTGATATAGACATTATCTAGGCTTTCCATTTCTTCATTTTTGTATACTCCACTTTCCCTGGCTTGCTTATACATAATGCAGGACATGCAATGATTCAGAGCACTTCAGCCCATGCTTAACTTCACTTGTATCTCTAATCTTGTGGGTGGGATTCACATGCTTAAAGTTAGGTCCGTTAGTAAATTATCTGGCTGAATGGAGACAGTGAACAATAAGAACAACTCTTTTAAGAAGAAAGCTAATGCGCATCAAATGGAAAGCATCATAGGGAGGCAAGTATAGGAGATAGAATGTGCATGATTTTAAGATGCCCAAATTTTAGGAATTCAGGTTAAGGTTTCCATGGTGATGCTGTCTTCATCAACTTCCTTATGAACTTGGGCCTCTGCTGAGTTCCACCCACATAAGCAAAGGATAGGACAGGGTCAAAAATTTTCAGTATAGTTCCAGGTAAATTACAACAGGAGACATGACGCTGTTCAACTTAACTCCAGTGTTTTACATCCTAACAAGTCAAAGTATTATTTTTCCTTTAATATCCCATTCTGTTCCTTATTGTTCATTTCTCAGAGGAAAACCTTGATTCAAGAGTGTGAATTGGAAAAAAATAGCATTTTATGCAAGACATTTTTTAATACAGGCAACATGAGCTCACTGTAAGATCCAGTGAGCAGAAAGGTGGTTTGTGCTATTTCTGCAGCAGGACTGTGCAAACAAACCTTTCTCCAGTTGTTTTAATTTGGACCTAGCTACCCATGGCCATAAGCATCCCTGGAGAACGGTAGATCTCTGTCCCCTTTCTTGTCCTGTCTCACCTGTTAGTCCTCTAGTCAGGAGAACACAACCTAACAGATAATTTGAACTGCTGGAGTGGTAGAAAGAGGATGCCGTAATGGTGACATTTTAGACCAAAGATCTTTAGTTCAAGGCAAAGTAAGTAAGCCTTTGTAACCACGTCACCCCACTCTGCACATTTCTCATTTCCTCTACTACGTGAAACATAAGCTGCTTGCTTCCACTTTACAGTTTCATTGTGGCCTCTCTCTGCCTACCCAACCTGCAGCTGTTTGCTCGGTTCCTGGCAGTTTATGCCTGCCTCTGCTGGCTCTGGTTGTGGGCATCCTTTACTCACTTGTTACATTTTCAAACAAGTCCCTTTGGGTTCCCTTCCATGCCTCTGCACTCACATATGGGGAGAATTTCCTATAAACATCTGCAAAATCACTTCATTGGCCTCTGTCTTATTCCTCTCTAAAACTCTCCCTACGAACAGCTTGAAATCAGCCAGACTGCTGGTGTGTTAATGCAACCACCTGTTATACCAATCAATTTTGGTTTGTTGTTTCTTCATACTCCCTTACATCCTTTTATCCTACGTCTGTCTCTTGCTTTGATTATAAGGTCCTTGGAGCCAACATCTAATGTAATAGGATCTTAATCTATGGCTAGTACAAACTCTGGGGTAACAGAAACCATAAAAATGAAGAGGCAGTTGTGCAGGAAATGTGCATCGTCATGAAATGGTATCAGCTGTGATAGCGTTGTCACAAAATACAATCACTGCGTAAAATACTGATCTCACTAGCCAAAACTCTTTGACTTCAGTGAAACCCAGGATATTGCCCTCTGTCATTAAATCTTCAGATAGACACGTTTTTGAGTAATCTTTTTTCTTCAGCAGCAGTGATCAGAAACCTCCCTCTTTGAAGTGATTTTGATAATATCATTACCTGTTGGCCACTGTCTTATCGGTCTTCATTCTCATTTCTCACCTACCCGTTCTGCAGTGCAGAATTATGTGTGTGTTTATACACTGCCAAAAATATTTGACTGTTGTCAATAATTAATAATTATTAATAATTAATAATTATTGACAGAATATTACGTGAAGCACTTTGTCAGAATGAATCTATAAATTACAGGAGGTTACGCTGATGAATAACCAAGAGTGTTTTGCATTTATCATCTTATCTCAAGCAAAGCAAACAATCCTTTTAGAAATACTGCTGTACAATCCAAGCTGGCCAAAACCAGCTTTGGAGTTCAAAAATGCCCACTCATGTTTAGGCTGAATATTCAATATTTCCTACTCTTTGTTTCATAAATATAAATAACCATTTAGAGGAAAATTCTTCCTAGAAACATGCATATCTCAGACTGAAAAAATAAGAAATGTTTTTGAGAAGTGGGAAATGCTCTGTGATATGAACATGCTGCTCTATTAACCCATTATTGGTGTTTGACTTTTTTTGTTCATTTCACAAGAAGCTCAGGGTGCCCAGATCATGAGAACATATCTTTCCTTTTCCTTCCCATTTCCTCTTTCTCTTTTTCCTCCAAAAGCTCAGAACTCAGCTGACATACCATCAACATTATTTTAAAGCACCTTTTGACAGTCTTGTCATAAGGGACAGGGCTGTCCTTTTTTAAAAGCAAAACTCACAGTCAATTTAAAGACTGTAAGCTATGGCCCGTGTTCCACTCGAGGCATCGGGCTTGCCCAGGTGTGAGAACGGGTTCACGGGAAGTTCAATTGTTCACAGCAAAATTGAAAAACGAAAAGGAGCGAGAAAGAAGGGGTCTCCCCCCCAACACACACACACATCTCTCCCCCCCGTGCCTCCCCCCCTCGCCCCACGAGTATGCAGACTGTACCCCATGCACATCGGAAATGGACCCGGCGAGACTCTCGGCGCAGCATGCACACACGGAAGGGAAGGAAGGAAAGGGAAGGGAGGGGGATGCCTTCGCACGGTCTGATCATCACCATAAAGAGTTAAAGAGAGAGTGAAATGGCTAACGTACACACACCCCGCTCCATACCGGAGAAGAGTCTCCCAGCTGAGGTTTATGCTCTGTGAGGACCAGGCTGAAACTGACCGCCCCCACGGCCACGCTGGACACCCCTAACCCTATCTCCAGCACGGAGAGCACCAGGAGGCTCCCGATGATCTGGCTGCTGGTGCACATCCTCCCTCGGTCATCCTTCCTTCCCGATCAGCCGGGGAAACCGCGCATCCTCCTTCTCCTCCGGCGCTCCCGCGGCCCTAAGTCGCCCCCAAACTTTTCTTCCTTCGCCGGCAGCCGGGGCGGAGCGGCGCATCCGCGGCCGGCGGGCGCTGCCGAGGGGCGGCGGG